ATTCCTTGGTTCTCAAGTCTCTGTTTTCTGCCGAATTTTCTTCGTGTTTTTAAGGTACGTACACTCACATTTTCTCTATACTTTCCTGTTGCTTTTAACTTATGTTTCTTAGTTCTTGTGAGCCCTTAATTTCTTTACTCGGATTTGCTTGTTCTACAATTATATGCTACATATGGTCTTGCACTTTTGGGAACCCTTTATTGATGTGTTGATCATGGGTTTTATGTTTTCTTTCCCTTCATTGTTTCCTGGTTGCTTCTCTGTTTGGTTGCCGTGAAAATATAGGAATCCTTTGCCTTTCTGTTCTCCGGGTGAGTGAGTTTTGCAAAGAACTGCAAAACCCCATTTCAACTGAGTCAATTAGTAATAGATGAGAAATTTTGGATTGAACCTTTTACTTGCTTTTGCTAGACATTTTCCCTGCAAAACTTATAGGCTATAACCTGGAACATATCTACTGCCTGCAGACAAATAGCCAACATGGACCAGTGCCAATCAAGCAATGTCCGCAATGATCAGGAAGTTGTCTATCCTGAGGCAGTGGATAGAATTAGAGGGATAATCTCAACTCTTCCCATTGAGAATGGCTGTAGATACATAGAGCCCTCGTGCTTATACCAAGGCTTTTGGTGCCATCCCTCCATGGCAGAATGTATCATGTTAGGCCAAGAATTCTTCAAAGCTGAACCAAATGATATTTTCGTGTGCAGCCCTCCAAAGAGTGGCACTACTTGGATTAAAGCCTTAACTTTTGCCATTGTCACTCGAACTTGTTTCGATAGTTCAACAAGTCCTTTGCTCTTTAAGATGCCCCATGAATGTGTTCCTGCTTTTCATAGGAGTTTTGGCAAGAAGCCAGATATACGCGAGCCAGGGCTCCCACTCATCGCAACACACTGTCCATATGCTTCCTTGCCAAAATCCGTTCTACATTCTGATGGCAGGTAAACTTCAAATTAATTAGTCTTGTTTCTTTTAAGGGTAAAATTAATTGTGAAGTGGAGGGATGGATACCAATCAATATTGACAATTATAAGATACTTTATTTATTTAAAATCTCTACTATCTTTTAAGTAGACAAATAAAAAATATCCAATTATGTGCACTTGTCTCTCTATAATAAAATTTGAGTAATGATAATCTAAAGTAAAGCCATCTGATTAATTTATTAGTAAATGGTGGTTGTCTAAGGTCAAAATGGATTGGCTTTATTACCAGGGTTTTTAAAAATTGAACCTACATGTTAATCTCTTTTTATAATAATTATTATTAAAAATAAAAATTAATTTTTATTTA